AGCAGGAATTTTGAATGCTCATCAGCTTATCGTTCTGCAAATCAAGCCTGTATCAGAATCTTAATTTTGGCTCAGTGGGCATTGTTCTTAATAATGTGATTCTGCAGAATTCACTAGCACCAAACAGTTAAACGGAAGAATATAGCCAGTCAAGCTGAGCTTTCCTAATTCAACTGGAAGGAAACAGTGATGTGTGAGCCCTGTGCTTATACAGGCTACTCTATATCCCAGGGTGCTTAATAGCGCCAGTGAAGCTAGGGAAAAGCTCACATTGGATTTACCAAGGGGAAGATGTCACCCCGGCTTCTGTTTTGATTTGCAATGGTGAATTGGGCGTTACACATCTTCTCTTACAAGAGAGCTCTGATAGTGCTGAATCCACTTACTTTCTGGTAATAGACCACAGGGCCATGTGGTCAGTTCTGTGTACTTGCAGCTGAAGGTCTTGCTCTGAAAACTGGATACCATACACTGTTCTCTAGCGTTTATGAGTAAACAGAAAATAACTGCACTTATCATTTGTAATGATCTTTTACCGTGTTTTGAGGTGAATATTCTCGAGTATATTCTAGTTACTCTTAAGTATATAAATCAAGTATAGAAAGCTTTGCAGTTCAGTTTTCCATTTGCAGCACACTGAATTAAAGTTTACCCAGATTATGAAAATTATGTTTATAGGTGGTTGAACTGAAGCCAGGTGGAAAAGATATTCCTGTCACCAGTGCTAACCGAATAGCATACATCCATCTGGTGGCAGACTACAGATTAAACAAACAAATTCGACAGCATTGCCTTGCTTTCCGTCAGGGGCTGGCCAATGTTGTGAATCTTGAATGGCTCCGAATGTTTGATCAACAGGAAATACAGGTATTTTTGCTTAAAACTCCTAAACCGTTTACTTCAAACTGCAAATAAGTGTTTAATTTCTGCCTTTAATGTAAATGTCCTATTTACTTTACTCTTAGGTTTTGATATCTGGTGCCCAGGTTCCTATTAGTTTGGATGACCTTAAATCTTTCACAAACTATTCAGGTGAGTATATTTACCTTAAATAAAAAATCTATTATGACTGATTCAGGAATAAATAAATAAATAAATAGTTGCTTTTCAACTTAGCTTACTTTTTAAAATAAGTTGTAGGATCATTCTTCTTGTTGCTAGCCTTGCTGGCTAAACTCTAGATAGATACCTAAACTTCAGAAGGCTGGGAAAAATTAAAACCAGGTTTTATAAATGTGCAGACATATAGGTATGCAGTGTATTGTGTTCAGGCACTGAAATACAAGTTTGTAGACAGATAATTAGAGAACACGTAATTCCTTTCCTGACTGGAAGTTAGTCAGTGGTTGTGTCTAGCTGCCCTGAAATTAAGTTTGCAGATGATTTGGGGATGGTTGTTCCTACCAACACGATCAGATACTTACCGTTTCTCAGAAAGCCTGAGGGGACTGTTCATATTTTTTCCCTGTTAGAAATGCTGGGCATCTTAATTCCTTTTTCCTTGCGTTCATCATGAACGTAACTAAAGAGTATTGTAAGTTCGCATCCTAGCTTACCTCAAAGTAAGTTGGCTTATGAAATAACCTCCTGAGTCTTGCGAATTCTTGCAGTGAACAACAATAATCCAAAGTTTCTAGATAAAAACTAAACTAAATAAAACTAATTTAAAATAAACGATTAGGGTTCAGTGGAGAAAACTGCAGTTAAGAAGTTGAGGGAGATGGTATGCCTACGATAAGGAATGAATGAGAAACTTTGAAAATGTCACGCTCAAAGAGATCTGTAGATAATGGAAGTCAGCAATGTAAGCCTGCTGCTTTTACTATTTTCCTCACACTTTTAAAAATTGATGCTAGGTTTTCCAAGGAGTTTCTTTCTTACATAAAACTGTTCTGTCTTTAAATCATTTAAATCTCATCGTAGGTGGCTATGCAGCAGACCATCCTGTAATAAAAATATTTTGGAGGGTTGTGGAAAGCTTCACTGATGAAGAGAAACGCAAACTGCTCAAGTTTGTAACGAGCTGCTCTCGACCACCTCTTCTGGGGTTTAAGGTATATGTCTTCCTGAATTGTGTTTCGTTGATTTCTCTAAATATTACTATGACGAATGTGATATGAGCTTTATTTGTCTGTAGAAATTTAAAATATGAGAAGAATATCCCTTCATGACTACAAATAACAGCTTCAATGTTTGCACTTGGCTATAATGAGTATAGTTTAAAGTGTTAAAATGTTTCATGAAATATGAAATAGTCCTAAAAAAGCATTCATTAGAGCATTGGTTAAAATGCTTGCGCTTTGTCATGAAGGATCCTCGCCGCCATGCTTTGACTGTGTTTCATATTAATGAACAGAAGCACTATTGCTAGCACCTTCAAGGAACAGATTGAGTTAAGAGTAATGTCTTCAGAATTGGGCAAAGGAGGATTTAGGATATCAGCAGCTATTAAGTATAAGCATTTGAAGCTGGAGATGTATTTCTTATATTTCCTTTGGGTTAGCATTTGTCTGTTTGTAAGGTTATGGTTTATTATTCTTGATATCTAAGTTTTTTGTTACTATCTTTAGATTGATGTTTACAGTGAACCCTAAGCGTGAAGAAAATTTTGGTCTACTGTTTATAAAACCAAAAAGAGGCCAAGGCAAGTTGAAGACATTTTGAAATTAAATTCTGAGAATACTTTAACCGGAAGTTTGAGTTGGGCTGCAAAATTCTGGCTAAGATCTGGCCTTGGACATCATTTCCTCAAGAAATGTGGGAATGTTCAATGCTTTTCTGTAATTCGCTGGAAAGTATAAATCACTGAATAGCAACACCATCAGTTTTAGTGTGGTGCTCAACAGCATATTTACTGTTGTAGTATTTAATAAATTAATACAAAGGTGAGCTTATCTGGATGATGAATACAGACATTGTTTCACGCCAATTGCTTACAAGTAAGAATATGGTGAGTTGCTTTGTTTAGCTTCCTTAGCTGTGTTGCTCAACAAAGCTAAAGGGCTTTTCACGTTGCAGGATAGTATGATATCATATTTAATTAGCAGTGGATGGTAACTAACTTTCTACATTTATTAGGCAAGACAGGTGGAGGAACCCATAACAAATGAATGCAAATTTTGTGCGAGTGCTGATTTTATTAGTATTAGTATTATTTTACAAAACAGCTATACTTACTGTATTATATAGTGGTGTGAATGAGCATTTTCTTATCATATAAATATTTCAGGGACAAATACTAAGATTTTATATAGGAACAGGAATTTCAGATGTGTGTAACAGCCTGGAGGTGGAGACAATATATCTGGAATTTTACGCAATTTTTTTCTTGCACGATAGACTGAAAGTTCATTCTGGAATAGTTAGCATTTAAAGGTACAAGTTTGCACTTGACAGGCAAATACTAGAAGAATTTCTGTCTCTCAGCTCTAGGAATTGGGCACTTTTCCTGTGCCGGGGTAGCATGATAAAGATGTCAAATGTGAAGAACAAAGCCGAAAAATGCACCTTCCTCTCCCCCCACCTCTAGATAGTTGTAGCATTTACCTGTTTTACTCCTACTGAATTCCCCCCAGCTCTAGACAGTTGTAGTATTTATCTGTTTTTCTCTTGCTGAATTAAACAAACTTAACACTAGAATTTCCAAACTTGTAATGATTTACTTTTTTCTTAAATACAAATTTCTGCTAGAAAACAGAAAAGAAAACATTCCAGTATTGAAATCAGAGTTATCCATTACAGACTTCAGGCACTTGAATCATTTATGATATATAAAAAAGCATTGGTAAGTTGTCATAGAGGATGTGGATTTTTTTTTAAGGCTGTACAGCAATTTCCAAGTGGAGGAGTTGTTTTCCGTGCCATGTTCTGCAGTGAAGAATGGTCCTTACAGCTTTAAATCTTGCTGTATGCCCCTTTGCCCCTAACCTCCATCTGTGCCCTTGTGCTGCAACCCAACATTGTCCTTCTTCCTCAGTCTTTTTATTTTCCTGTTTGTTTATAAGCTGATAGGGGTATGCAGCGCTGTCACTGTAGTGCGTGAACGTTTCAACTTGATTTGGGGCATAAGCATTCTGTAACCCCTCATGCAGTCTTACCCTCCTTACAATCCCTTCAGCTGTAGTCGCCAGTTCTGTGCCATGATGTTAAAAGTATGGATTGGCAACATACCCTCCAACTTGAATGTCTATAATGTGTAGCTGAGCTGGACTCCTGCAGGCACCTAGAGGAGGAATGGCCACCTCCAGTCAGTAATTTAATTTGTCTAACTGTTCTGCATGTCTGCCTCAGGGTGAAATGAATCCCTTTAACAATAAGGTGAGCTTGGGGTGACTAAGTTTGGACATGGAGACAATGGAAATGGCTATTTCATGATATGAATCCTGTCTAAGGTATTCATTGATTGCGCGTTTAAAAGCCTGCAAGTATTACTGTTAAACTCTGCAGTCCTATGTGAATATCACTGTACGGTCTCCTTACTGTAGCAGCAAACAGGACTGGACAGCCCAGGGGGAAGAATGATTAGAAAACTGTGGGATGAGGTCAAGATGGATAGAACAGGGCGTAGTTAAAATCAGTCATGTTATGGAGAACTGGGAAACGATTGTGTGGAAACAAAGTAAAGAAGAGTCTAAATTTGTTAACTGCCTTTTTAATTACAAGGCAAGACCAGGAGATGCAGATGTATACTACCTAGTTCTGAGGCAGCCACGTGATGATGGAAGAGATGTCAGAAATGACACCAAAGCCTAAAAACATTAAGGCCAACAGTGAGACATTAGAAACAGGGTGTAGTGAGGCTAAACGTGTAAAGCAGAGGAGTGTGTGTAGTTAGGAAGTGGGCCACAGCCTGGCTTTAGCATACTTGGATTAGGCAAAATGGAAGTAAAATAGTCATAGCATTTTCAGCATGGTAGCGAAAAGTTAAAAGAACAATTCACTGTAGAACGGACTTAAGTTAAACCACACGCAGCAGTCTTGGCAACAGAAAGCAGAGTGGAAAGACGTTACCGCTGTTTTACTGGACAGCACTGAGCAGAAGTTGGGTGCACGGTACAGGCAGTCACGCAGCCTGTTAATGTGGATTTATTGACAGACCAAGGGACTGAGGACTGTTCATCAGACTGACAGTTTCAGGGGCTCCATAGAAGCAGTAAGCTGCAAATGTTTGCCAGAAAAGGAAATGGGTAATTGGTATTGTCCTCAGCAATAATGTATCGGTAGCCTGTGGCAATGTGTTGTTTAGAGTTTTGAAGGTGAAGTCACGGCTATTATGGTATCTGGCTATTACCAGCCAGATAACTGTCTGAATTTATGTTGAGGGTAGACTTTAACACAAAATACCTTTTAAAATTGTGTGCAGTTTCACTTTGGCTGCTACACTTTTATGCGAGAAACAAAATTTCTGGTTCTTATACTAAAATCTTCTGCATACTCAACTGTGGAACGGTCACATTTTGTTAAAGTTAGTGCATGTTAATTTGAGATAAGAAAATGTCTTGACATTCATGGCTTACAGATAGCACAGTCTAGCTTTGCCTCATTTAAAAATTCAGAACTCTCACTGCCAGATTCAGACTCAGAATAACATTTGCTAAAGCTAATTAAAGTTTAATATATTTAATAAATGTGATTGTTACGGACAAAAAAAATCATTAAAGTGTGGTTGAAAATTGTTAAGTTCCAATCAGGTCACATAGTAAATTGATGATACTTTTCAATTCCAAACTATTGCAGTTTCCCACTGTACAGTATTTAATTATGCAACAAATGGTGCCCTTGGCATGACATTTCAATTTAGAACTTCATTTTTCCATTTTTAAAGCTAAAGTAGGGGAATTCAATTAGCATTTTGAAAGGAACACTAAAAATGCAGCATTTTAGCCATGAAATACATTTTAAGGCCTCCATTTGAACAATAATTTAGCTTAAAATCTCATTGACCTTCTGCCTTTCGAGCTAAGATTTTTTTTTCAGTTTCTAAAATCAGAACTGTTTTAGCTCAGCAAGCATTTGATGAAATGAATGCTTTCTTGCCAGCAAAAGCAGTGCCTCAGAGGTTTAAAAAAAATGCTTTTTGCACAATCATCTTTCTCAGAAGAAGAAATTAGATTTACTAAAACAATTAAAATACTCCATATCAAATGTCTGTTCATCTGATCCATGCTTATCACATCAGAAGAATAAGCAGGGTTTGACAAATTTATATCATTACAGCCTCATTATGCACATCTGTATCCTCCCAGTAACTGTTAAATGATTTTATGATCTTTTAGCACCTGAAGAAATGCACACTGTAATTGCTTTAAAAAAAGTTAGCTCTTTATTTAGAGGATATGAAGTATCTCTTGATTCAGAGTTCTTTAACCACAGTAGCATGTGTATACTTGCTTAGTCTTACGCATGAACAGATCCACTGAATTCATTAGTACTGTTTGTCTTCAAATTCATAAATTTTATGCATGCTGAAAGATTAAATTATACTGGAAAGAAATGCCTTTAGCCTGAGCCTTGGGTAATATCAAACGCATTGAATTTAACAACAAAAATTATGATGATTATATAATGTGGTGTGTAGAAGGAAAATGGAGGTTTGATAAATACTCACCCAAACTTGAAGAATGTAATTTATATATCTACAGTATGCTAACAAACTTAAGCTCAAGAAGGAAAACACTGACAGGATATGTTTCATCATGGTTTGTTTGGGATTTTTTTTGGATGTCAGAGAAAGCGACCTGGTAATGTGCATTTATCAAATTTCTACTTATGGCCTGCCTGCTCATTAACCCTCTCCCCCTCTTCAGAGCATCAGTTTAACAGGACAAGTGAATGCTCATATAGAATTTGTGTGCAGGAGCAGGATCCTTTTACAGCCTAACACAAAAATGTTCAAACTGGCACAGCATGTTGCTTTATTAGCAAGAGCAAAATTTTTTTTTGTTGGTATTTTTATGTCCACCAAAACAATGCCAAAATGGGAAGAAAAAACAGGAAGTGTAATTCTCGGATGAAACCATGTCATTATACCATACAAAGTGAACTTCAAACATGGCAGAGCATCCTTTCCCATTTATCTCCATTACTTCAGTGGTCGGTAGTTCCCCTGTTAAGCATGCATTTTTCACTGTCAGAAAACTTCAGTGTAACAGGAATCTGTCATGTTCTCGTTCCTACAAAATAAGCAGCGTCCGTGTGCATTTGGGAGGCTTTGTAAGAAAAGTCTGAAGTGGTCATGAATCGTTTGTTTCTCCCAAATACAACACAGATCTTTTTGCATGCTGTTGTACTACTTTTCTCCATATCACGCTTCACTGCTTTTTTAGCACCATGTGTTTGTAGAATAGAGTGTAAGAACAATAACATTTTCTCCCTCAGAACCAGATACGACAGCTTTGTGTTTTGCAATATAATGGATTTTGATGGGCGGGGGAGGTGCTACACAGTTTAAGTGCTCTTTGGGGAAACTAGGAATGAAAATGCCTTTTGAATATGTCATTGTGACTGATTTTAATCTAATTATTTATTTCCTAGAAATAAATAGCTGTTACGGGTTAGATTTTTGGCCTGTATATACTTTTGATATTTTTTCTGTTGCCTTTTTTTTTTTTTTTAGGAGTTGTATCCTGCATTTTGCATTCACAATGGAGGATCTGATTTAGACAGGCTACCCACTGCCAGTACCTGCATGAACTTGCTGAAGCTTCCTGAGTTTTATGATGAAAATCTTATGCGAAGCAAGCTTCTTTATGCCATTGAATGTGCTGCTGGATTTGAACTAAGCTGAGTTGAACTGATGCTTAATGCAGATGACCTGCAAAGGAACTAACCAGTGCCTACTCCATAAGCAGCACCCATACATACCCAAGCAGTTTTAAGGGAATTCTGTCTAGATTTCTGCAGCTCTTGTGTCTTATCAAATGCCCTCAAATAGGTTTCATTTTTAAACACAATTTGTTAGTTAGCTTTCATTAATTAATATTACATTGACACTGCTTTATGATTCAAACTAATGAATGCTGTGTGCAGTGTGGCTGTTTTCTGTGTTTATGCGAAGAAAGAGCACATTTAAAGAACAGTGACACATCTCAGTAAAATTAACCAAAGACAAAGCTTTGGCTTTGTGCTGTTCAAATATAAATAACTTCACAAACTGGCAATAGAGTTGTGTACCATGCAGCACACTGGGATGAGACAGGGCTAACATCCTGTAATTAATCTTTTAGATGGAAGTGAAGCAGATGTTTGCAGATGTCCCAGAACTGAGAGGTTGAAAATGATCGTTACCGATAACCCAACGTCTTTACTTATGTGGTAGAATTGTTTACAAACCGTAGTTGTTGCAATTAAGACGGAACTGATTTTGTTTTATACTACCTTCCCTCAAGATGGTAGGCACTGAGATAAAAGCATTTATAAACAATATTTTATTTGTGCTTTCTGAAATACCTTTGAGAAATCGGATTCGCGTGCTTATTTTGAGTTCAACTTTTGGCTGCATCATTATCACTTGAACACTGTCGTAAATGGACGTGACTATCCATGTTTTCTCTGTTCTGTTTCTGTCTTCTGTGCCTGTACAGGTTGTTTTTTTTTTTTTTTAATGTATCAGACTCCTATTGCATACCCAGTACATACAGAAGTCATGACTTTGGAAAAATATACATGTAACAACTATTAAAATTATTTGAACCAAAGTTATCAGGCTTTATCTTTTATATTTGAAGCCTGTGGTGTTCACATTCCTTTTCCCTACCATTTTTTTCCATCTTAAATACCATATCTCTGCTGTAGACACTAGTCAAATTCATTATTTTTTGTGATTGAACAGCTTTTGTATCCCTCTGCCTGCAGTATTTCTGCTAAGAAAAGTAGGTGGGGATATGCTGCTTAATATAATTTGATTGCTGGGAAATACTTGGTTTCATATGGAGGGAACCGATTCTCTAGCAACAGGTGCATAATTGGGTATTCACATGTAACTGCAGTCAATTTAAAAAAGGAATTGTAGTTCAAACTGTTAGAGTCAAAAACAAGTGCATCCCTCTGAATTTTAGTTTTATATTTTAAATCATCAGAATTTACAATCAGATTTGTATTCATCTCTTATGCAAAAAACTATTTTGCTGTTACTGGAAACGGTTGGATTTCATATTTAATAAGCAGTAACCAGCAATATCCTTTTAAATGTGGGGCAACTGAGTGATTTTAAGGTGTTTACTAGTATCCATATAAAAATGTATAATTTCTTAATTCGGGTAATAAATGAAGTGTTAAAATACTATTTGTAGTCTTGATGTACAGAAATAAAATGACTGGTTTTCTTTTTGGTTTTGCATTAGGCTTTTTATTTATGTTAAATATTACATACCCAACTTATTCTTTACCCAAAATTGATTTCTTGTATATTTTTCTACATAAATTATAAAACTTATAAATAAGATGAAAAGAAATCAGTAATAGTGCAACTGCCTCCTCCTAATAGCAAAACCTGAACACTTCTTTCAGATAGCATTATTTATTTTATAAGCTAATGCTTTAAATATTTTGAAATTATTTTTCAATTCCCTTCTTTTGCTACATTGATAGCGTCATATTTGTATGTTGTAAAATGCAAATTAAAATTTTGTATTAAATATCTGTATTTTGAAGATTGTGTTGGAGTCATGCCACATCATCATGGCTGATAATGTATAATTTATGCTTTTGTAAAAGGAGACAGTGCACACTATTCTTATCTGTTAGCATGACTACAAGTTCAACAGAGAGGATGGGCTGAAGGGAAGTAAGATTTTAAGATCGGTGTAGTGATGTAAATGGAAGAATCACGCAGTTGTAGAAAACTTCAGTAGAGGCTTTGAGCTCACTGAAAATACTCTTCAATTTTTTCAGTATCTAGGACTTACTGATCTTGTTTCATATATTCTGTACATTAAGTATGAAATTCTGATACATTGAATTCAGTGGGATTGTAGCCTGAATTTCGTTCTACACTTCAAGTCAGTTGGAAATCTGTGCTGCAACAGTTTACACCACTTTTAGTATCCAGACTGCAGTAAGAGGAGAATAGGCGTTTCCTTTGGCAACAGATATTTTTACTTCTGACGGTCAACTATTTTTGTATAGCCAGGATGAAGCATGAGTCCCTACTTTTCAAAAATCTATTGCTGGATATTTTAAAGAACCAGAGATGAAAGAATGAAAAATAATATAGGTATAACTAATCGTATCCTGAAGAGCTAAGTGGTGTAGCTCTTGCATAGCAAGCATTGTTTATATATGAAAACAGATTTTTTTTTTTTTTTTTTTTGGTAACAAGCAAACTCCCAGTTAGGATGCTCTCAGAGTTTAGATAGACAGGAAGCATTCTGCATGTACGTAACCTGAAATAGTGTAGTTTCTGATGGTCAGAATTATGGCAGTACTAATTACGGTTTTACAGTTATTTTCTGTGCAGGACAACCCTTCCTTAATTTCTGTACTTCAGTGTTTTGTCCTCCTATTTCAGTACTTGTCTTTTGAAAAATGATAGCATTTTCTGCTTCTCATGCAAAGTAAGAGAACACTTTACATGTGCAAACCGTAAAAACATTTTTGTCAAGATATATCTTTATAATGGAGAATATGAATTCTTCAAGTCTCCACAGATAAAAGGCATAAAAGAGGAATAAAATTAGCACTTGGTGTGTTTAGCTTGGTGAGAATTTCTCTGAATGTAAGTTTAATCTTACTAAATGGATTTTAAAAAAGAACTGAAATGATCTTCCTTGTTAGTTAACTTCTCTTGCTTTCCATCATGGTCCCTGGTTCCAAAGTTGTATGAATCTTGCACAACTGATTCTTGATTTCCAGGGAGGATTTATGTCAACAACGCAGGAAGGATTTGGCCCCAGCTTCATAAGTTAACACAGAGCTGGAAGAAGTTTGATTTGAGCAACAAGGATATCTTTGGTTATTTTTGCATGGGGTGCTCCGTAATTCAAATAAAATGAGTTTGCTTATGCAATTAGCAGCAGTCTGGACTGTTTGTTTTGGCATCACTTAAGTAAATCTAGCAGAAACATCCTAATTTGATCTACAAAGGGGTTTGAAAGGTTTGAAACTCAAAATATTTTAACAAGGCCAGTGAACTAATGCTAAATTTCAATTTATTTAAACCAAAAACTCTTTGTAAAATGCCAATGAGTCAGCACTTACTCTTTCTGCCACTTAAAAATAATACAGCACAGAAACAAAAAAAGAGCTGTTTTTCTTGGAATGTTTTGTTGGAGCTGTATTTTTTTTTGTTTTGTATTTATAATTATATGCAAAAGCTTTGAAACGTATTTGCTCATATACATGAATCTGTGTTAATAAGGACTGGTGATGTAAATGCTTATTACTATTTTTTTTTCATGATGCTTTGCCTGTCAGTGAAAGAGAGAAGAAATGAACATGGTCTGTAAAACTGATCAGGATACCTATATTTTTATTGACTTCTGCTTTTGTGAATAAAACAATTTGAGTTTTCTTGAAACTTTGCAGAAACACTTTTTTCTTTTATTTTTGCAGTAAATTTGGCATTTTCTGGCTAAAGTTGGACAGTACTGAAACGGGTTTTAAAAGGGAAGCTAATATAAACCCTTGGTCTTGAAGTTACCACTGCTTCATGATCATTTTTAACTTCATTTTTCAAGCTCTAAGTTCCCACCCTGTCAGTCAGACTGCATCTATAAGGTATAATTTTGTTTCAATGTGTCTTACTTAAGATCAGTAACCTCACCTCCTCTTTAAAAAATATCTTCAGAATCTTTGGAAAGAACAAAACTTCTTTCCTCCATGGATGAAAATACGAGAAACTATAATTCACGGTGAAGAATGTTACTTTGTCAGCAAACAAACACAAAAACATCTCCTTCAGCTTCTAGATTTTCCCTTTCAGTATATATGTGGATCCCTCTCAAGGTGTAATTCAATTTCTCTCTCCTTTGACACAGTTATCTGCTTCTCTTCGCTTTTCCTGTTTTTCCTGTTGCTAAGCAAACTTCTAATTCCTCAGTGACATTTATAAAGTTAGCATTGTGCATGCTTATTTTGGAATACTTTCAAATGGCCCTGTATTTGCTTCAATTATTATGCCCCTAAAAATGTGGCTGTCAGAAAACTATCAAAAACTGATCTTGTAAGGCATTTCATAATTTAGATAAAAGATACCATGAATAGAACACACGTGCCCAGATTTTGCAGATTTTTCTGTATGTACCTTTTAGTCTTGTAAAGCCAGTAAAATGTCTGATGTGCATAGAGAGACAAGGCAAAAAGTGGTAACACCAGTTGAATACATTTCAGAGAATCAAAGAACGGTTGAGGTTGGAAGGGATCACAGAATCACAGAACGGTTTAGGTTGGAAGGGACCTCTGGAGATCATCTAGTCCAACCTCCCTGCTCAAGGAGGGGCCTCTAGAGCATATTGCCCAGGATCACATCCAGACGGGTTTTGACTATCTCCAGCGAAGGAGACGCCACTACCTCTCTGGGCAACCTCTTCCAATGCTCTGTCACCCTCACACGAAAGAAGTTTTTCCTCAGGTTCAGATGGAACTTCCTGTGGTTCAGTTTCTGCCCGTTGCCTCTTGTCCTGTTGCTGGGCACCACGGAGAAGAGGCTGG